CCCCAAAACCCCAAAACCCCAAAACCCCAAAACCCCTAAGTTTTGTAAAGAATTTGAAATTTAATTTAAATAAAGTTAAGCAGAAAGTATAATGGAAGAAGAGCTAAAGGAGACTAAAGGCAAATTATCTATAGTTACACAGAAGTTCTCACAAAGTAAGAAGGAAGTTAATGACCTTAAGAAGGTCAATAAGGAGCTGCTTAATGAAGTCATGTCTCTTCAGTCAAATATTAGACAAATGGTCCCAGGGTTTTCAAATACAGGTTCCAGCTTCCCGCTGTTTAACGAACTTTTAAATGAAGTATCGGAGTTTTTGAAATGTGACTGCCAAGATGCCTTCTTTGACCTCTTGTGACCAGAATTGAACCTAGATGGAGTAGTCTACTTCTTTAGAAAGACTATAGAGCCAGTATTGCAGCAAATAAAGAACTATTTTGATCCACTTTATGCGACTCTTGAGAATGCAATGTGACTTGACACTGTTGAAGGACCAGTACTTAATGTGATGAAGAAGTGCTATCAGAATAATTGGAAGAAAATATACTCTAAATGCTTTAATGATACTGTCCATAAGGCAATAATGAAATCTATTCAGAGCACTCTTAAGTTGGCAGATGGAGTTGATGAGTCTATCAATGAGGAAATTACTTCTTTTGTATCCAGACTTAGCTTAATATGATTCAAGATGTACATATGAGACCCTTGACTCGTCTTTGATATGTCTATTATGGGACAAGCAGCCTCGAGTAACCCTACCAAGATGGACTCGATGGATGGATTTATCAAAAATGGACAGGAAAGTATAATAATCTTGCCTGCTGTTTACAAAGGGGCTATTGAGAAGGAGCCAGTGATTAAGCCAAATATTTTACCCCTGGACTATGAATTCCCATAAGCAATGAAAGCACAATATTCTGAGTATTTGTAATGAAGGAATCGCTAAAAAGTTTAATTGATTAGTTAAGCAACTTGCTTTAGACCTTCATAGCATCTAATATTTTGTATTCAATTGAGAAATCGATGGAAGGGGTTTTGGGGTTTTGGGGTTTTGGGGTTTTGGGGTTTTGGGGTTTTGGGGTTTTGGGG